TTCCCCCGTGCTCTCTGGCATATCACATCTAATGTGTCTGCTCAGAAAACTCCTGCAGTCATAACTATGGTGTCTTGCATGCCAGATTGAGTGGAAAAGGAGGGTGGAGGAGTGCACTGAGTATACATGCAAGCTACAGATTGCCTACAGGGCAAAATGAGAGCTAATTGTGCCAGTCTTCTGCTCAATTCTTAAGATTGGACAAGCTTACCTGTCACTACCTCAGGCTAATTTATGAAAAACAAGCCACCCCCAATTCTGCTACTTCCCAGGGTGAAATTAGGGAAGACACACCATTATTATTATTATTTTTTATTAAAAAATAACCTCCCACCTTCCCCCAAATCTTCTTTTCCTTAAATTTGATGCCTTCCCTATAAAAGAGCAGGTCTCTCAGATTTGCAGGAGATGGCCTTTGTCCCAGGAAAAAGGCCCGAATTTACAACAAAGGCATGTGGTTTACAGCCAGCCTACAGTAAATAATCCTTCTGAACCCAATGGCCTAATATTTTTCACATCATTTCAAAATATAGGTTAGATTTTTTGTGTATTTTAAAAATATATTATGTACACTCTGTCTTCGCATTTAAATCAGACTTTACAAATTCAGCTATCTAGTCCATTATTCGAATATTTTTTATTATCACAGTTTAATGGTTTCCTATCACTTGGCTGTGCAGACACCAAGCATTTCGGGGAGGCACTTCCATTCAACTATTGAAAATACAATGTAGCAACTGTGTTAAATTGTGCAATACTTTCAAGATAAGAAACGAAATCATTTTGATGCTAAATTACATACTGCTTTTTCATCTACAAAAATGTAATTTTTCTGCAGATGTACTTTGCTTGGGGCATTCCAGCACCTTTACACAGAGAGCTTTTAAAGATAACACCTTCTAAAGGTAGGCTGCAAAGCTGCAAAGACAATGAATCCATAACTGTGTAGATAAATATAGTACATACTTTGAAAAGCAGAACTCTGGGGGCGCTTCTACAGAGTAATCTAAAACTTCTTGAAATCCCACAGCTTCTCTTGCCTTGTTTCAGAACAAGGAAACGTATTTCAGAATGAAGCAGGGTGATTTCACAATGTGGTGGGTTGACTTTGTCTCACCACCAGGTGCTCGCCCAGGCACTCAGTGCCCCTTCTCAGCAGGACGGGGGGCAGAGAATAAGACAAAGAAAACTCTTGTGTCAATGACAGGGGGTCACTCACCAATTACCATTACAGGCAAAAAAAAAAAAAAAAAAAAAAATTGACTTAGAGAAGCAGTTAATATATTGCCAATTAATAACAGAGTAGGTTAGGGTAATTAAAAGCAAAATTAAAAACATCTTCCCTCTTCCCACCTTCTTTCCAAGGTCAGCTTCACTCCTGGTTCTTCTACTTTCTCCCTCTGAACTGTGCAGGGGAATGGGAAAAGGGGGCTGCAGTCAGGCCGTAGCAGAATAGGAAACATTATCACACACTCAACTGTTTCCCAAAGTGAGGCTTAAAGCCAGGAGAAGGGAGGTCATGCAACAGTCCAGCAGTGTGCTCAGAGACACTGAGCAATGTGACTCTTCTCCCACATCTTCGTTCCAGTTTTGCAGGCACAACTCCAGCACTTACATGTCCTAAGCATCAAGCTAAACAAACCTTTAGCATGTCTTCTCCATCTTGGAGTGTTTGTATGAAAACAGTAACATTCATGCTACTCATTCTCCCATAGCTAAGTGAGCAACTGCCATTTTATGGCCAGCTGTGGCATCTCAGGTTTCAGCTCCAAATCTGACCTTGCTGTTGGATCTTTCTCCATCACTCCAGTTACAGTACTCTTACTGCTGTCACAACTGTCTGCAGTTGTGATGGTGAACCTTTCATAAGCTACTACTGAGGAGAGGGACAAAACAATGGTCTGTTCTGTCTTTGAACTGAACATTGGCCACCTGCTTTAGTACCAAATACAGAGCACTGAACTTTGAGTCTCAAGCGTAAACACAAAGCCAAGGCAATACGGAATAAAACTAAGCTGAGTCTGTTGGCCAGTACACCATGAAAAAATAACATTACTGACACCAAGGAAGTAGATGAATGAAGCAAAAAATGCAGTTAATAGCTATAGAAGTTTGGAGCATCAAATAAAAATTGAGAAGCATTAAGTACGTTTTTTGGTTGACCACAAGGGCCATACTTACCATACTTGCCCCCTCTGGAAAGCTGAGACAGCTTGGTCATCTGGGATCGAGAGCCACTAAGGAAGGGAATACATTATGATCATTACTTCTGGTCCATTGCTTGTCTTTCTTCCTGCAGTTCCATGCTTTTAATCTCTTCTCTGCAACAGTGAGAATGGAAATGTACTTTTGAAAATAATCATACTCTCAAAAAACCCTGGAGATGAAACTTGCTCATTCCCAGGATTTGGACTACAAGTAAATCATATTATACAATTATAGTAAGAAGTATACATAAAAATCATGATTTGATACACTGGTTTAAAATGGATTTGAAAGACTTTTTGGACATGACAGCTAACAGAATTTGCTTTCCAATAGATTTATCTCTTGGCAAATGAGTGTTTAAACTCCATTATAGAAAACTGCAGCAGAAGGTCATCTTTAATAGATACTGAGGACATATGTATGTCTTGTTTCAGGAACAGCTGTGATCATTTTTCTCCTTTTTAATTATCAGAACAGGAAGACGAGAGGAAAAAAATAAAAACAAAATAAAACCCAAAATAGAGTGGATTCTCTGGTATCTGAGTTCATTTCACATTACATTTTTCCTCTCAATGAGCACATTAATAAGGATCCTTATTCTCTAGTGACATATGAAGAAATTAGTGTCAAAGACCTCTGTCCACTTTGCCAGTTTCAAAAGCACAGTCAAATTTATAAGGAAGATACTGGAACCAACAGACAGTCAGAGTTAGCATAGTAACAGAGACATAGTGACAGTATAGGCTTCCTTTCTTAAGGAAACAAAGATGTGAAACTAGAAGGATGCATAATGAATCTCAACACGATCACTTTCCATTTACACATCTCTTCTTCCCTTATTTCTAATCTGTAGCTTATCTGTGCAGATGGTAAACTCTTGTAAACTCTAATGTGTTGATTGATGCCTCTACCCTTATTGAAGATCTTTAATTGTGGATGCTGTAGCTAGCTGGGGCTTTATATTTCTGAGTTAATGACAGTAGCATAGCTATATTAGCTGCAGCTAACATGGGATCCCTAAATTCTTCAGAGAAGGTCTCTATTAGTCACACACACACACACACACACACACACACACACACAAGCTTAAATAACCAATACAAGATTGGACCATTATCTATTATTAATTCCCTTGTCAAGCCAAAGCAATTATGAGGTACAAGTTTTGTTATTTCAAACAGAAGAATTGTTCCCAGTGTTCTCAGAATAGACACATTTTATTTTGCAGTTGATTTTTTTTTTTTTTCCTCAGAAAATCAATTGAAGTCTATACAGAAAAAAATGCTTGGTAATTCTTGGCAGACTAAGTTAGTGTGTGTTTTGTTTAATTCCCATGGAAACTTTTCTACCAAAATCCCAGGTAGAATCAATCACTCCAAAAGAACATAATTAAGTGGAAAGAATGTCACCATATTGCTTTGCCTTCCATATATGCTTACATAGTTAATTACTATGTATGTTTTAGATTTACTGTCCAATACATAAACATGTATGTTATAAAAAAAATGCCCACACAGCAGAGAGGTAGGTAAAGCTTTGAATTTTCACACTGCATGAACTTGTACAAGTTGTGCACCTGGCAACATACGACAATTTAACTCAGGTAATTCGTGGCTTCTTCCCCTTTTAATTTTTGTTGCTGTTATTAGATAAAGTTTGGATACATAACATTACAGGGAGCTGCCCTTTTGCTTATTATAGTTTCATCTGCCCTTCCCTCGGGTGCAGTTTATTCTCAAACACTGCACTTGGGGGCAGAGACTTTAAAGTGGACATAAATTTTATTTGGCTGAGTGCAAGAACCAGTTGATTTATTTTAAACATTTGAATGCTTCCTGAAATCCTGCTGGCACATCTGGGTTTACTAAACACACTCTGGAAGGAAGTTATGGAATTAACCATAACTTTGGAAGACCAGTGTGCTGAGGCCCTATCTGGAGCCACTGGAGAGCAACTGGAACAAAAATTTACCTCCTTGCAGAGGATTTTTTTTTCTCTGTTGGCTACAAAGATTCTTAGGAATATCAGCCTCACTATTCTGGAGTTGACATTTCCAAATATTTTCTAAGAACTTTATGATTTCAATAACCTGAGGCTAAGCACCCATGCCTGATCTGTACCTCAACAAATTTGCTGCTGGCTTCCACAGGCTTCGGGTATTACCTGTGCACTCAGTGATATGAGCTGTTATAATGTTTAACATCTGACTTGAAGATCTAGACTCAAAATGGACATGATGATTTAGCTCAGAACAGATCAAAGGAAGGTATATTTTGAAGTACAGACAGAGGGCTTTAAATTCTTCCTTAGCTGAGCTGGGTTTGCTCAGCTATAACTAGAGTGTAACTGTTGGTAAATTCATGATAGCAAGATGAGCTAGCATACCATTGCACTGAAAATTGTAATTTGAATCTGTGTTTATCCAGTTCTTCTCCATTTACCCCAAATAACACAGTAACAGAATTAAATCAGTATCTAGCATGCTTTTCCTAAGTGCACAAAAATCTGGTTTTGATAATTATCAGGAAGACGTTTTATCAGAGTAGTGAGCCACCTGGAAAAAGTAGTCTGTAAAGAGTGAATCCAACCACTTATAATCTCATTAAGTCTCTTCTGAAAGGCTTCTTTTATGTCTTCATGTTGCATTTGTTCACTTTGGGGTTTGAGTTTGTTTGGCTTCTGGAAATATGGTGTTGATTGTCATTTCTGATCTAAGACCAAAAAGGTTATTAAAGCAATAAAAACAACTACACAGTTTCTCCAATCCCATCTTTATTTTTGTCTTTTGCTAGGTTGGAAAAATCCACAAGAGCACTGCTCGCAAAAGAGAATACCACGTACTGTTCATGGTGATCACTACAGTTATCTGTTATCTTGCATGTTGGATTCCCTATGGAGTTATAGCACTACTTGCAACATTTGGTAAGCCAGGTGTGGTGACTCCTGTTGCAAGCATCATCCCTTCCATCTTAGCAAAAAGCAGTACAGTTTGCAATCCCATTATCTACATACTTATGAATAAGCAGGTAAGAAGTGCTATTTTTAAACTGTATTTTCGTCAGGTTCTGTTAGGTGTTCTTGATTTCTGTGTCTGCCTGTCTTGTTGTGTCCTTGTGAGAAAGGCATTCACAGCTTATCCAAATAATGTCAGTGGAGTCTTGGGATGGAAGTGTTTGTAGTCAACATAATGTTGTAAGATAAGGAGAACAGATACACATCTGCTTACTCAAATTTTTTGTGTTCTTCTGAGGGACAAACTGTGTATTAATTTGCATACTGCAGAGTTGATGAATGTACTGGAATTTATTTTGAAAAGAAGAATATTGGGGTGAAGGGGGAAAGAAAAGAGGGGCAAGAAGAGGAAAGTATTTCAGGACCTTTAAAACAGTATGAAGGAGGATATATATTGCACTTAACTATTTTCATGATAGATCTATCTGAAAATAGTTATGAGAATTACAGTTTTTGTGGACTTCCACACTTTTTTCTAAAATAAGAAATTAATTTTGTGTCTTGACAGCCAAGACAGATTTCTAAAATGCCTGTATCTAACTGAGGTACCTCAATTCTCTAAATGTCATTTTCAGTACAAGAGGTTAACTTCTTAATGTTTCTGTGTTGGCAGTTCCTAACTCTGAAGTTTAATAAGGGCAGATCTGGAAGTTTTGAAAATGGGTTTTGCAGTAAGAAATTCAAAAAATATGCATTGCTCATATTATCTTTTTGATTAATTGTGTTGGATGTTGATCTCAATTTCCTGTCTTCATGATTTCCATTGCATTACTTACTTTTGCCTTTAAGTGCCTGTTATATGCTGTAGCCTACATTTAGTGTTATATAGTACTATGTAGCAGCAGTATTATATTACTATGAAACCTAAACAAGTTAAAAATTGAATGATCAAATATATTATCATTTTGCCACTGCCTCAGAATATTCTTCATCTGGTTAACCTATCCTAAAGTTCTTAAACAAAGAATAGGTCTACTCTTGCAGTCTGAAGGTAGGATCCTAGGCAAACTCTGAAACTTCCCTGAAATCAGGAGAAGACACTATTGCCTTCCTGAAGCCTAGGGCTTCATTTCTAAAGTTGAACAGTTCAATTGTCATTGAACTGACAATGAAAAAGATAGAGAACTTTGTTTGAAAGGTGCTCATGCTGAAATAAAATTGCTATTTTTTCTCCTTTCTCTTACATTTTACACTTCTTAGGGAAATTTCCTAAAAGCAGCGTTTGTCTTTTTTTATTCTCTGAGCTCTTTGACAGATTAGGCCTTTGACTTCCATGAGACCATCTGACCATGCCATAATCACCCAAACAGGCTGTAACAGAGAAGACAAGCACACTTTAGCATTGTCTTCACAGGCAGAGCACAACCCAAACAGTAAGTTTTTCTACAAGGAGCACTGCAGCAGGAAACTGGAAACAGATTCTGAAGTATCCATGCTTAGTCTCCAGTCATTTGCAAGACTGATGTATTAGATTTCTCCTTGGAACTCAGAATAATCCATTTGTTTCCTACTACCTACTGTTCCACAGCTGCCATCATTTAACAAAAAAAATGCAAAGGGGCAAAGTTGAATCAATATTGGAGGGTAGATCATTTCTTGCCAACTCGTAGCCAGTGTGTGGATTCTATTATTTTCATAGTTAGCTTCCTTATTACTGCAGAAATCAAGGCAAAATAATTTCTTAAACAGAATTTCTTCAGATTTGGGTAAATACTTTTCAGTTTAATACAACCAAAATAATATTAAATGCCTGCCATTTATTCTCAGTTCTCATCAGCCATTGTGTATTAGTAGCAAAATAGCAATTTTTTATATGAAACTCGGGAATCAGCTTCACTCACAAAAGGCAAAATGCATCCATCCATCTGTTCATCTTCCTTTCAAAACAAGAGAAATAGTAAAGCCATTGTCCTGTGTATGAAGTGTGTTCACAGAACCTCAGCTATTTTGGAGCTTTTCCCATTCATTTTCTTACATTTAACATCTCAGGAAAAATTCTCTTCTTCCCAGCTTCTCTGGGCTTCATTCTTTGCTGAGAAGTGTCACAGGATACTGGTGCTTTCCAACATAGAAATTATCTAGCTCACATTTTCCATGGTTCTGTCTTTTTGGGTGCTAGATATCACAGCAGGCTATTTATTCAAGCACTTTGTAAATACACAGAGAACATAGAACTTAATCTCTACTTCTCTGTGCATAATCTCACCTTTTTCCTTTGGATGTTTTCTGAAGATTGCAAAACATTGCTGATTGACTGCAAATACAGTGTTAGTTTACATTTGTCATAAATTAATTTGGAATATTGTGGAATTTACCCATCTCTGAGCTAGCCTTAAAACTCATCCTGCAGATCACTCTTCTAAATTAACTCTCTTGCAGGCTTTGAGTGACTTTTATGGTTTGGAAGCCCCAGTGAAAAAGTTTAGTCTTTGTTTTTCACTGACCTGGAATGATTTAGGGCCATTAAGATGATCAGAGGGCTGGAGCACCTCTCCTGTGAGGAAAGGTTGTGGGAACTAGAATTGTTTAGCTTGGAGAAGAGAAGGCACTGGTTAGACCTCCTTGTGGCCTTCCAGTACTTGAAGGGAGTGTATAAACAGGAGGGGGAACTGCTGTTTACAAGGGTGGACAGTGACAGGACAAGGGGGAATGGTCTTAAACTGAGAGAGGGGAAGTTTAGGTTAGATATTAGGAGGAAGTTTTTTGCCCACTACAGAGGGCAGTGACACACTGGAACAGGTTGCCCAAGGAGGCTGTGGATGCCCCATCCCTGGAGGCATTCAAGGCCAGGCTGGATGTGGCTCTGGGCAGCCTGGTCTGGTGGTTGGTGACCCTGCACGTAGCAGGGGGTTGAAACTAGATGAACATTGTTGTCCTTTTCAACCCAGGCCGTTCTATGATTCTACTATAACATGGCTGTGGAAATGGTGGATTTCTGGCCTGTGTCATTGTCTTTTTGTTGCTCTTCTCCAGGAGTAAAGAATTGAACCTCTGAGGCTGGGTTGTTGCTGGGCTGATAACATTATGCCAGGTAGACATTAAGTTTCACTGACAAAACTGTAAAGCACAAAACCACCACAAACTTAAGTGATGTCTTCAAATTTCCAGCAATGTATCCACCCTGAACAGGATCCTTATCGCAGCTCCAATTACCTTCTTTCACCACGGTGATGCTCCTCTTCTTTGTGTTACATACAAGCAGCTGTTAGACCTTTCCCCAGACTGTACACCCAAAAGCTTTGTGCTGGTGTAATTGTACTTGAGGACATATGCTGACAACCACACATTGTTAGCTGGATAACATAATGGTGTCATAGGTTGTGAGGCTATGTGTCAGATGTTCCCTTTTAATTGATACGAAAGGCTAGATATGAATAATGAGTGCTTGAAAGGTTATGGTTATGAATAAGATGTGTGTACTGAGATCGTGCCATTCTGCATTTGCTATTTCACATTATTTCAAATTAGCACTCAGATAGCAGGAATTTGCCTCATTGCTGTTGACAGCCAAATTTAAAGCAAAGGAAACCTTTATCATATAAGGATTTCTAGAATACATTGCTTGGAAGTCTCCTTCATGAGATTTAATGTCACAACCTTTGCTGATGTAAAACAGCATTTCTCCACTGTATCAGATGGGTTTCAGACTAGTTACATGATTTCAGCAGTTACTTCCACATGTTTATTCACGCAGGCAGGGAACCTACAGCTCCCTGGACTACTGAAATTCACACTATGCCTCTAACAGTGTTTTACGTCTCACAATCAGGAAAAACAAAACTAAACCATATCCAAACTCTGTTATCACCATTGTGCTATTTCTGGTGTCAGAAACTGCCTCTGAGCAAAAATAAGGAAGGAGAGTCTGAGGGATGGGCTGTATTAGATGTGAATAGGAGTTTCTGATTACCAGTTTGATTTCTACTCTGTCTATCTTCTTGAATTAAAATCACTGCACTTGCAAAAATAGAAGCTGACCTTGTCATTTTCCCCACAGATTTGATGAATTGTTGTTGAAAAGTATATACACGCTCATTTGAAGATAATTAATACTGTGACCTTTCCAAATGTATCATGTTAGGGATAGGGCTGACTGAAGGAGGAATTACATACAGCAAACAGAGAAAGTCAACTACAAAGACTTCTGTTTCTATTATTGTTGTTCATTTTAATTTTTGTTTATGTTTCTGGTAGACAATGAGATTCAAATAATAATGTACTAAAGAGTGTTCCCCAACAAGACCCCAGACCCAGCACTGTGCTTCTCACAAGTGAGTACTTACTCAGGCATGCAGCGTTATTTCTCTACTGAGGCAGCCCACATATTGAATGATCTTCAGATACGTCTTCACTGCTCATACACACAATGTAAAATAGGTGTGTGGGCTCAAGCAAGGAACCTCTATAAAAAGGCTTTAAAGAGGCAGAGTAATAGTACTGGAAACTGATGTGTGGTAAACAGGAGTTAACCCAGCAGGGAAATTAAGTTTCCCCAGTAAGACAGGGTTGTGAACAAAAGGGAAGGCATTTTCACATTATTTAGGTGCACTAGGTACGTGATAACACATCATTCAGAGAGCTGACCTTGACTCAGGTCACAAGTTAGACATTTCACAAACTGCAGCAGGAAGCTGTACCATCACTACCCAACTCACACCAGATGCATCAGTACCAGGCCAAAGCCTCTCAAATGCCTTCATGGAACTTGAATTGAGGAACAAGGAGTCCTTCTTTAAGGATAAGCTTTTTACTTACATGTTTTCTACAACTATTCTCAGTCCTTCTTGACTTTACCTTATTCACTGAGCAGGGAAAAATGCACATGCACTTTGGAAAATGGAGTTAAACAATAGTCATAAAAAAAAAAAAAAATAGTAACCTTAACATTTCCCACCTGGATGCACAGCAATTGCATTTTCATAGCCAATTTTCATCTGGTATGGTGCAGTTTTCAGTATTTCCCACAAAAGCTAATTTCTCATTTTTAAAGCAACAGGAATATATGGATGCGACA